GTAACCAAGGAAACACTGTATCATTGCTGTTCATAAGTGCGGCTCTGCTGTGTTTACAGCGGTAACCAAGGAAACACTGTATCATTGCTGTTCATAAGTGCGGCTCTGCTGTGTTTACAGCGGTAACCAAGGAAACACTGTATCATTGCTGTTCATAAGTGCGGCTCTGCTGTGTTTACAGCGGTAACCAAGGAAACACTGTATCATTGCTGTTCATAAGTGCGGCTCTGCTGTGTTTACAGCGGTAACCAAGGAAACACTGTATCATTGCTGTTCATAAGTGCGGCTCTGCTGTGTTTACAGCGGTAACCAAGGAAACACTGTATCATTGCTGTTCATGAGCGCCTCCTGCTGGCAGAGAGTGCATCTGCGTCTCATTCAGAGCTTCCGCTGTTTAGTTCAGATGTTTTATGTAGTATAGTTTCACAAAACTAAAGTCAGACCATTCTGTTTTTGCTTCAAATTTCGAAATGATACAGTCTAATTTAGTTTAAAAACTGCTCATGTTGCATGTATGCTGCATCTTTGTTTGGATCGTGATTAAAATGCAGTGGTTGCCTCTCATATTAAATGGAAACAGCACAGACAAAGCCTTATTTTATTCATATTAAGAGATTTCTTTTATTTGTGTAACTTGTTTGATTTGGAGTTTATTTTTAAAAAATTATTTAGTTTAATTATTTCAATTTCACAAAGAAACGTGCAGCAATAGCCTAATAAAACGACACCTTTTCAGTTAGGCTACTGTATAATGTCTTCAATCTCATTTTGTTAAAAAAAATCGTGAGAAAATCACAATCGTGAATCGAATCGTGAGTTGAGTGACTCGTTACATCTCTGTTGTAGTCACCCAACATTTTTTGTTCATTTGAAATCCAGCTGTCATTGTTCATCTCTTTATTTGAATGTTTCTGCTGTTGTTGCATTTATTACAAACTTAACAACTTTATAATTTTTTTTTAATGGGGGTCGTTAAAAAATGTGAATGTTAAAATAGGAGTCCCCTGGGAAAAAATGTTGGGAACCACTAATTTATATTTTTGAAGATATTAATCCATAATTATTGTATTTTACTACTGCAGTGTAAAGTCAAATAATATACTTACTATGAAATATTCATTTTTTTACAATGCACTTGTAATACAAAATATTTCTGTCTTCTAAATGATAATAATAATAATAATAGAGATTATTATTATAATTATTATTATTACTATGTATTCCCACTCATGCTGTCTGGCTTGAAGAATGTCAGACAGCAGTTTTAGTTAAGAAAATACTTTGATTGTAGTCAAAAGTAAATTAACTTGGATACTGATCAAGTTTGACTAATTCAGAAGTATTAATAAAATCTGTAGTATTTCACTGATACTAAAATAGCGCTGATGAAGACGGCAAGGCTTTGTGAACAGAGCTAAAGTCGTCTGATTGTGGAAATTATGAAAATAAAACGAAACTTTGGTGACAAGTAGTGGATGTCACATTGAGATTTCTCTTGATCTCACTAGCAGGATGAGGAAGAGGAGGAGGTGGAAGGCCGTGGCAGCTCAGAGGAAGAGGAGAGCTCTGATGATGATGATAAGAGCTGGGTGCAGGAAGTGAGGGAGCAGCGCCGTCTTATACGGGCGGAGGAGCGGGAGCGCACGTTCAACCAGAGGAAAGAGAGGAGGCAACAGGACCGAGAAACCAGCTTACAGAGCTCCGATCCAGTCAGGAACCGCCAGCAGGAGCCTCTGAACCAGAGCCAGAACCAGCCCAGATTCTACCAGATCAAAGCAGGAGAGGCGTTCCGCAGCTTCGGTGACGCGGCCCGCAAGCAGAAGATGCAGAAGTAAGTGACTCTTCTCAAAAATCATTTTAAAACCTTTTATACAGGCTTTCTGTGGGTCTTAAAAGTCTTAATTCACCCTTCCACAATTTAAGGTCTTAAATTGGAGCAGAAAATTATGAAGTTATGGCATTGAATGTTTCATGCACTGCAAAAAAATGAATCATTCTCATTGTTTATCTTTTTTTTTAACCAATATAAATATCTGAACATCCTTAAGTCGAGAAGTTTACTTGAGATGCAAATTGAAGATATGAAGTAGAAAACTTGTTTTCTCTATAAATTAAGTTGATTTTTCTGAGCACATTGGCAGATTTGTTCTTGTTTTTCAGAAAACAAGACTTTTTGTTTTAATTATAAACTCATTTTGAGTTTATATCTTAAATCACTTAAATCATTTTGCGCCTCAAGTTAATGTATCTTTAAGAATCTTTATTCATTTGCACTGGAAAACACACACAACAGTTACCGTTATTTCCATATTCTAGTGATTGGGAATAGGCATTCAAGCCTTAAGCTGGTTTGTTTTTTATTTGTAAAATTAATTCAAAAGTAACGGAGATCTGTTAGGCTGGGCGTACACGGTGCGGTTTTATTATTTTTTTATGTAGTAGTGCGAGCTCGTACATGACTTTTTCCCATTTGGAGAAACCGCATGGAAATCGTTGATGTTCGTATGGTCGTGGCTCGCATCCTGTGAGAGGAATTTACAAGCCGAACGTCTCTCGAGCTCCCGATAGTTTTTAAGCATGCTTAAAATATTCGGGGAGTCGGCCCGATTTTGTCCAGTGTATAGGCTCTCCCATATTACAACCACACATATGCTAGATCTATGTATATTATAAGAACTCAGTGGCTACTAGGCGACCCCATATTGTGCGGATACACCGACACACACACAAATCTCTCCAGTGGTTTTTGTTGAAAGGAAAGGCTATGCTGTGCTCTGCTGAATGTCAGTCCCTCCAGGATTTCACGGGACTTTTTTCAGATTTTTGCGGCCTACAATGACTGATTTTGTTTGGTGGCGTTTCTTGTTTTGCAGTGAAAATAAACCGCAGACGACATTGTTCTAACATTTATATTACCGTTTTGACCTCAAGAGTCATTGGGCTCTGCAGTAATTCATAAAAAAGAACACTGAAAGAAATGAAAAGAGAAAATTGTCCTCTTAACCATATAAAACTATCATATTTAATGCATGAATGTCTAAGGACTCTAAATTATCAACATGAGCAAAACTTTGTTAAAAAATCTCTAGGTCATGATCAAAATCATATTAAAATTAGTGCTGTCAAACGATTAATCGCATCCAAAATAAAAGTTTTTGTTCACATAATATATGTATGTGTGTTCTGTGTATATTTATTATGTATATATAAATACAAACACATGCATGTATATATTTAAGAAAAATATGTCATGTTTATATATTAAATATATTTATATACAATATGAATATAAAAATATGCATGTAAATATTTTCAAAATATATACTGTATGTTTGTGTCTTTATGTATACATAATAAATATACACAGCACACATACATATATTATGTGAACAAAAACTTTTATTTTGGATGTGATTAATCGCAGTTAAATCAAATAATTTGTATCAAATAATGATACAACAGTGTTTTGAGGAACATTTATTTGTTCATCTCGCAATCATTGTAGGCATACTGAATTGCATACTGTTAAAAAATCACATTCATTTATATTTTTGGCCATATAAATAGTAAATGCACCAAATAGCTGTTTTTGTTCAGTTTGGGCTTCTGAATAAAATTGAGCAGTTTTTCCCCCTCCATATTCTCATTATATCACTATATGTGACCCTGGAGCACAAAAGCAGTGTTAAGTCGCTGGGGGATATTTGTAGCAACAGCCAACAATACATTGTATGGGTCAAAATTATAAATTTTTCTTTTATGCCAAAAATCATTAGTACATTAAGTAAAGATCATGTTCCATGAAGATATTTTGTAAATTTCCTACTGTAAATATATTAAAACTTAATTTTTGATTAGTAATATGCATTGCTAAGAACTTCATTTGGACAACTTTAAAGATGATTTTCTCAATATTTAAATTTTTTTGAACCCTCAGATTCCAGATTTTCAAATAGTTGTATCTCAGCCAAATATTGTCCCATCCTAACAAACCATACATCAATGGAACACTAATTTATTCAGCTTTCAGATTCAAAAAATGTAACCTTATGACTGGTTTTGTGGTCCAGGGTCACATATGGGCAATAAAAGCCTGGTGTATCCCTGACAAAACCAAAAACTTTATATTTTATTTAAAGGTTAAAAAAAGGTCCATTAAAAATGATTTTCAAACTATTACTGAATTATTTCAAACATTTCGTGGCTTATAACAAGTTAGTATAACAAAAAGAACTTTAAACATAAAGCCTCGTACACAATGGGGCGATTATCGCGCGCTTATCGCCAACGTTTTTCGCCGCGTCTTTTGTGTTCATACCCAAGCGATTTTCGCTGGCGATGAGCCGAGTGAACGTGCAAATTCACTCCCTGACATTAGATGGCGCTTAATGAAAAACAGAAATGCCCCGGTACACATCGAATCCTATTTGATCTGCAATTCCTCTCCATAACAACTCCCTCTTATTGAGATTTTTGTAGTCGCGGTCGCGTTTGTCATAAAGCCCTTTGTGTTCAGACACCAATGAGACCAGCAGCTCTACATTCATCTTGCCTCGATGCATCTTCTTGGTCTACTTACTTCCTCTTTGTCGTTAGGTATCAATGTGTGCTCGGCAAGACCGTTTTGTGCTTGAGCGCCACCAAGTCATGTTTTACTGTAACTTCAGCAGCTCCAGGTACATGAACAAAAGCGCCAATCTCATTGGTCGGCCATTTTTTTTTACGCGGCGCATCAAACCAAAAAAACTAGCCTGAGGCGTTTTTTAAAAAATGACACTTTTATGCCTTGCGTACTCACATTGGCGCCCTTTGTTTAGTCATGAGGCGTTAAACGACGGCGATAATCGCAAGCGATATTTGTCCCGGTGTGTAACAAGCCTTAACAGTACTTTTGAAGAATACACAAAATGTATAAAGTCTTTGGTGGTTTGATACACCAGAGCGAATACGAAAATCTGAACGGCTATTTGAAAACATGTAAAAACTGGCTGACTTCCTTTCTTCCCCGTGATCGGTCTGCCAGAAACGGAGTAGTGCAGCCTGCTGTGTTTACAGGGTAACCCAGAAACCGCTCTACTGAAGGTGCTTGCGAAATGAGTGAAGGGGCTCTAGCCTTAATGCACATCTATTTTCACATTACGTTTTGTGCCATTCATTGCTATGGCGCAAAGAACGCTCCTTTTATGATCACTCACACATCTTAGTTCATCGCGATCTCACAAACTTCCGTTATAATCGCTGAAGCTCTCTACACTGCACAATGAATCTCTCTGTTGACTATTGACTCTCTATTGACTTTAACAGAATTGAGTATTATTTGAGTCATTGGATATGTGTTGCTTATTCTTTTGCTCGATCACTGTGCTTGTAAACGTGAGTGTAACAATGTTTGACCTCACACAGGACGTCTCTGGAGGAGCGACTCCAGCGGGAGCAGAGCTCAGGGAGGCTAAACTTCAATGACACAGCAGTTGGAAGCAAACAGCTCACTTTCACTCTCAAGAAGGTAAGCATGATGATGGCACCATGGCTGAAGTCTGAGGCTTTATGCCACTCGTTTGAGCTCTACTGATGGTTCATCATTTTCAGTGGGTTCAGATGATAATGAGCATGCAGTTGTGATGATGTAAACCTAGAAATATATACAGAGTTAGGTAGATTACTTACAAATTTTAGTCCATTACTGATTACATGATGAAAACTGTAGTTAGTAATGTAATGTAGGTTACTCATTTTAGGTAATGTATTCTGACTACTTCTACCATATTGATATTAAAAAGCAAGAAAATATATTCAGTTTTTTTACATCAACATCATAAAATGCATTAAACCAGGGTTTCTCAAACTGGGCTTAGTGTGAGAACTGCAGTGGGTTTGTGAGTTGATAAAGTTAATATTTAATTAAATCATAAAAATTAAAAACACTAAAAATATTTATTTAATTTGTTTACTTGTATGTCAGTGTGACCATTAAGCGACATCGAACTGTAAACATGCGAATGTGGTGGTAAATTATTGAAATATTAACTTCCTCAGAGATAGTAACTTACATAATCATTTGTTTTATACATGGCCTAATTGCATGAGGGGTGTTTTTTTCCCCCAAATTCAGAAGCATGGCTTGCAGGTTGATTTACACGATATTTGTGAGTATAGTAAAAGCTAAATGTATGACATGCAGTAGGATTTTGCGAGAGGAAATTCTAAAAGATAAAAAAGAAGAATTAGGGAGAATCAATAGATTATGAATAATTTAGTGCCATTGTGTGAATATGTAATCATGTAATCCATAAAAAAAGTCACTGTAATCTGATTTTGAGCATTATAAAATGTAATATACTGTAATTACGAGTACTTAATTTTTGGAATCAGATTATATATATATACATATATATATATATATATATTGTGTGTGTGTGATAGATGGATGGATGGATTGGATAGATGGATAGATAAGATAAGATAGATGGATAGATAAGATAAGATAGATGGATAGATAAGATATGATAGATAGATAGATAGATAGATAGATAGATAGATAGATAGATAGATAGATGGATAGATGGATAGATAGATGGATGGATGGATGGATGGATGGATGGATATATATATAGATAGATGGATAGATAGATAGATAGATAGATACTTTATGAAACGATACTGTGGGAATAAATGCGTAATAAAACACTAAACTGAGCAGAACTACTTTGATAAGCGGAAGAAGATGTGGTCAGTCAGTAGTAGTATGGAAATATGATTCTTCTTTTGCGAGTGGAATGACATGCAAGCACTGCTTTTGGCTAGGATCGATACTGTCGCAACCAATTTGATGAAATATTATATTATTAATGTTATATATATATATAGATAGATAGATATATATATATAGATAGATGGATAGATAGATAGATAGATAGATAAGATAGATAAGATGGATAGATGGATAAGATGGATGGATGGATGGATATATAGATATATGGATGGATGGATGGATGGATAGATAGATAAGATGGATAGATGGATAGATAGATAGATAGATAGATAGATAGATAGATAGATAGATAGATAGATAGATAGATAGATAGATAGATAGATAGATAGATAGATAGATAGATAGATAGATAGATAGATAGATAGATAAGATGGATAGATGGATAAAATGGATAGATAAAATGGATAGATAGATAAGATGGATAGATAGATAAGATGGATAGATAGGTGGATGGATGGATGGATGGATGGATATATAGATATATGCATAGATGGATGGATGGATGGATGGATGGATGGATGGATGGATGGATGGATGGATGGATAGATAGATAGATTTAATTAATAATAAAGTCATCCCTTGTTCCGTCTTCACGTCTCGCCCTTTGTTTGTTTGAATGAAGAAGGTTATGGTGTGGTAAGATTGGGTCAGACTCATTCCCAGCTCAGATTTCTGCTGACTCACAGCAAACACTGAAGAATGGCTTCTGTTTGCCCTGAATTCTCACCGTTGTTTTCTGTCCTTTGACCCGCTCGCACGCCCATTTAATTCCCATACTCCTCCTGTCTGTCATACACATCATCGAGGGAAATCACTTCGCTGCATTGTTTTTAAACGGTCCATTCTAATACCTGGATAGTTTGAGGTTCTTCCGCTCCTTCCAAAGTCTAAACAAATACATGGTGGACCTTAATGTTCTTTGCATTCAAGGAATGAAAAACGAAATCTGTGTGAAGTATCTTTACACAGATCTTTTCCATTCATGGCCATTCAAGCACCATTAAAAATAAATGAAAATTAAGAATTAAAGTAGTCCGTCTGACTCATGCGCTATAATCCATAAAGTCTTATGAAAGCCATTTAATAGCTTGTGTAATAGTTCAGTGATGATCTACCCGTTCTGCTGTAGTTCTCAATGAGTTATGACGCTTTTAATCTCAAGGAAGTATGACACAATTAATGTTTAAAGTTTTGGCTCACTACATTTTTTAAAGAAATTAATACTGCTGTTTAGCAAGGATGCATTAAATTAAAAATCACAGTAAAGGCTTTTATGATTATAATAAATGTTTCATATAAATGCTGTTATTTTGAACTTCCTGTTGGTCAGAGAATCCTGAAAAAAAAAAAATTTTCCATAAAAATATTAAATATAAAAACTCTTTTCAACATTAATAAGAACCGTTATTAATAACCGAGCATGAATAATAATTGATTGCATATTAGAATGATTTCTACAGGATCATGTGACACTGAAGACTGCCGTAATGATGCTGAAAATTCAGCTTAGATCACGGAATTAAATGACATTTTAACAGATATTTACATAGAAAACAGTTCTTTTCAATTGTAATAATACTTTACAGTAATGCTGTTTTACTGTATTTTTGATCAATCTTGGTGAACATCAGATGCTTATTTTTTTTAAAACATTAAAAACTAAATCATAGTGACCTTTTCATTGGCAGTATAAAACCTCATTTGTTCTGGACTGTCTCAACCATTCTGTTTGTGGAAAAACAACAACATGCAAGTTAGAAATAAATGTACACTTGGAGAATTGTTTGGATGAACTATTCCTTTTCCAGATGTGTTATCCTCATGAAAACACCTGCTTGTTCTCTGTGGTTGTGCTGCTACATTCACAATAGAGCAAAGAATTCAACACAAAGTGTTGTAATAGTGGATTAGTTTGGAGCACTTTGAAAAGTACAAGCAGTAGTTGATTTTCTATCCATTTTAGTTAAGATGATCTCATTAAACTTGAATAGATAAATTACACTATACCACCAACAAAACAGAAAATGGAGTAAAAATATACTGATGAACAGCTGTATTTCACTATAAATAATGTAAAATGCCATGCAAGGACCTTTTTCCGAACTGGTTTATTTAACAGTCCAAACAAACCAACGGATGACTAAAGAAAGCTGATGAATCGCTAAAATGAATCAAGCTTCCCAGTACTTCTTGAAAGAGCGAGAACGAGCGCATTTGATTGCAGCTGAGTGAGTTGTGTGACCACTACTCTGTTAGTGGAAAAGCCACACTATTTTTAAAACAGCTGAGCTAATTGTTGTACTACTGTAAGTCTACTGTGTCACTGCATTTAGTTAGTCAAAACTCAACGCTGCTAAGATGCAGCCAAGTCTTTTTTTAACCTTTTGGAACAAATTCAAAAAAATAAAGTTGTGGATCATTTTGCCTTTGCCATTAATTGTTTGGTATACTTGTACTTTCATCAGACAGAGAGGCAACGATTTCAACAGCAGGCTGAACGTGACCATCATGAGGAGAGGAGGAAGATCAGATGGGCGGCTGGACACTTACATTCTCACAGGGGAGGACGAGGAAGAGGCGGAGGAAGAGGAAGGAGACCTTTTTAAACTCAGAACTAATCGTGCTCATGGACGTTGACATGCAGGGCTTTTTATACAGCCTTAAACCTGATCACAGACATCTGCAGGAATTACTTTTGTGCTTCAAGAAACTGTTGTTACAGTTCCAGATGCTGTCAATGATTCATATTAAGAGACTTGTGTGTGTGTGCGCGCGCTTGTGTGTGTGTGTGCGCGCGCGTCAGACCTCCCTTTTTCCACAACATCTCTCAGTACAGTCTAAACAGGACCTTGAGTTTTTTGAAGAACCTAAATACATTTTTTATCAACATCTGCTCTGTCCTGTTCTGATTTACACACACAAATCAATTCGCGTTCAGCATCGATTCTCTTTTAGTGCTAATCATTTGTGAAATGCTTTTGATTCTTTATACGAGTTTACAACTAAATCATGGGTTTGACTCGTACAAAACTACTTAAACGCGGCAAAATCAAACATGGCCATGTCCCATTTTACACACACTTTATAAACAAAAGTATTGGGACACAGCTCTTCAGAATTCAATCAGACCTGTTGCCACAGGTGAATAAAATCAAGCTCCTAGCCATACAGTCTGCATTAACAAACATATGTGCAAAAAAGAAAGGGTTGTTCTGAAGAGCTCAGTGAAGTGTGATACGATGCCACCGTTGCAGTTTGTGAAATTTCACTCCTGTTAGATAATCCATCTTTAACTGTAAGTGGTGTTATTGGAAATGTAAGTTATTTTACATTTTTATTATATTTACATTACCATATAAATGTAAATTTATAAAAAAAACTATTGTTATTAAACATGTAAAGTCACTGAGTGCTGAGGCACATGGTACGTAAAAGTCACCAATGCTCTGCCGATTCCAGAGCTGAAGAGATACAATCTTCCACTGACATTAATATCAACACAAACTGTGCGGCGGGAGCTTCATTGAATGGGTTTCAATGGCCGAGTGGCTGCATGCAAGCCTCACATCACCAAATACAATACCAAGCGTTGGACAGAGTGGAGTAAAGCACACAGATACTGGACTCTGGAGCAGTGGAAACCTGCTCTGTCACCCCTCAGACTGTTTGGCAGTCTGATGGTGAGTCTGGGTTTGGCAGATGCCAGGAGAACGTTACCTGCCTGACTGCATTGTGCCATCTGTAAAGTTTGGTGGAGGAGGGATAATGGTATGGGGCTCTTTGTCAGGCCTAGGCATCTTTCTTCCAGTGAAGGCAAATCTTAATGCTTCAGCATCACAAGACATTTTGGACAATGCTATGTTTCAACTTTGTGAACAGTTCTATTCCAGCATGACTGAAGATCTTTAATATTGTATCACAGTCTTGCAGCTTTCAGGAGGCATGCTGACGTAGTATATACTGCATATGTATTATGTTTGCCTGTAGCCTTTAGTATCTAAATTAATTTGCTGTATTACTACTTATATGTTCATACATTTAAAAACTGCTCTCAAAACTTTTTTTTTCATATTTTGTTTGTGACAAAATGTATTTTAAAAAAGGCTACCTTTGAGACGTGCAAGGTGTCATGTGCAATATAAGCCCCAAAATATATATACAGTATCTCACAGAAGTGAGTACACCCCTCACATTTTTGTAAATATTTTATTATATCTTTTCATGTGACAACACTGAAGAAATGACACTTTGCTACAATGTAAAGTAGTGAGTGTACAGCTTGTATAACAGTGTAAATTTGCTGTCCCCTCAAAATAACTCAACACACAGCCATTAATGTCTAAACCGCTGGCCACAAAAGTGAGTACATCCCTAAGTGAAAATGTCCAAATTGGGCCCAATTAGCCATTTTCTCTCCCCGGTGTCATGTGACTCATTAGTGTTACAAGGTCTCAGGTGTGTTAAATTTGGTGTTATCGCTCTCACTCTCTCATACTGGTCACTGGAAGTTCAACATGGCACCTCATGGCAAAGAACTCTCTGAGGATCTGAAAAAAAGAATTGTTGCTCTACATAAAGATGGCATAAGCTTTAAGAAGATTGCCAAGACCCTGAAACTGAGCTGCAGCATGGTGGCCAAGACCATACAGCGGTTTAACAGGACAGGTTCCACTCAGAACAGGCCTCGCCATGGTCGACCAAAAAAGTTGAGTGCACGTGCTCAGCATCATATCCAGAGGTTGTGTTTGGGAAATAGACCTACGAGTGCTGCCAGCATTGCTGCAGAGGTTGAAGGGGTGGGGGTACTTCTGTGAGATACTATATGCATACTGTGGAAAAAGTACCAAAAATTGTTATTTTGCAAACTACTATGATTTTAGAGACATAATTCTAATATTGTACACTATTTAGGACAGATGCAAATTGGGACACAGACATAGACTTATAAACATGTAACAGACACACTCCATCCTCTGATGTTTGCCATTCTCTTGATTTTAACTAACCTCACATTGCATAAACTAACACCCTCAGTATACTATAATTTAGACCGTTAAAAGTCAGATGTTCACCACGTTTTCTAGACTTTCAAATAACATCTGCTATAATGGAAAATGAAACTGTCTGCTGCTGATATTTGAATGTTGAGAGAAATTTTGAGAAGTGAAAGCACAAGATTGACCATCTGATATGAGATTTGCTTATAGTCACTTCCTCCTGCCCTCAGTGTCAGACTTCCTCTGATATCAGATCACATAAACATCTCGCCGCTGTTGTAGCGGTGGGTATTTTCATCTTTGGGGCAGGGTTACTATAGTTAACTAAAACTAAAACCATAGAAATGTGCTTACCTGAAATAAAGTAAAATGTAACTGAAATCAAATATTATTTTATTTCGATAGCTGCCAAACCAACAATTCTCATTTTCATTTACTTTAACTTGTACAAAAATAACCAAAACTATAGCTGAAATATATATATATATATATATATATATATAGCTTATAAAAACACAAAAAAAATCTAAAACTTTAATTAAAATTAAAAAAATAAAGATAGTAATAAAATAAACTATAATACTATTTCACTGATGCTAAAATAACACTTCTATGGCAGACCTGGAGGGACAATTGCATTATTTACTTGAAAATAACTTGTTACATAAAATAGAAAAAATGTGAACTGAATATAATACATACATACTATAAAAAATGCTGGGTTAAATACAACCCAGTGCTGGGTAAAATGGGGACAAATCCAGCAATTGGGCTGTTTTGACCCAGCGGTTTGATTACATGTTTAACCCAACCTTCTGGGTAGTAACCCAACCGCTGGGTCAAAACAACGCAGTTGCTGGGTTTGTCCCTATTTTACCCAGCACTGGGTTGTACTTAACCCAGCATTTTTTTTAGAGTGTATACTACACTTATTTTATTTCAGAATTTTTGTTTTAAATTTTCATTTAGTTTAACGTACTAAAATAACTAAAACCAAAATGTAAAAACTTATTTAATAAAAACAAAAATACACAATAAATTTACTAAAACTTAAAAAAAACTCATTTAAAATATTAATGGATAGTATAATAGTAGTTCAACGATACTATAATAGCATTGTTTCACATCGTCTTTCCCTCGTCAGTTCCTGAAAAACATTAGAAGATGGTACATGAAATCATACTATATACATTCTGAATATAGTCACAACGAAAGGCCGTAATTTGCCAGTAAACACAGCCTTGAGTGCCTTTTATAAAATGGATACAACTTAAAAATATTAAGAACAAATAAAACATTATTTAAATAATCAAATTAGAAGATCTAGCTGTGACGTGCACTAAAGTCTGTCCACTGCACTAATGTGCAGTTAGATGCATAGTTGCTGCTCAGTAGTCGTTTCGTTGACCTCACCCAGGACTGAGCACAAATATGGGCTTAAATGTTATAATGTATTTCTCATTTATTGGCAAAGACAGAGCACTTTACAGCTGGAGCTCTTCCATGAAAAGATGCTTTTACAGTAATTGCGACTGATATAAGGCTCGTGTCCAGTGATCGAAGAACATAAAGGGCTATTAAGCGATCATTTCAGGTGTTGTGCTTCCAAAACATGCTCCTAGGGTAATCAATAGAGTTTTATGACCTGCAAGACTTTATAAAGAGCTAATGCAATGACAGAATGACGCTGATGCACTCAGAGTGTCCTGTCCTATAAAAACTCTTCCCTCATGCAAAACAAATACACAGTTGGACATTTGAAATGTAATTGATATGCAAAATATCAAACCAAGTGGGATTTAGTGTAAAGAAAAGCACAAGAACATTTTTCCAAGCAAAACATTTCACAAAAAAGGTTTGAAATAGGAGTAATGAAGACCGGCTGTATTAGAACACGATTGCCAAGAGGTAGATGAGTTTGTTTCTTCATCAGATTTGGAGAAATGTAGCATCGCATCAGGCTTCAAAATCCATAAACTTGTGTTCAGTTGTGAAGATTATCAGGATGAAGAAAACATGCAAGAATCCTAAACTTCCGGAGGACACAGAGCTTATTTTCTACAATAATCCAAAAGCCAATGGAAAAACAGCTGATAAAAACATCACAATAATCAACAAGTAATCCACACCAGTCCATCAATTAACGTCTTGAGAAGCAAAAAGCTGTGTGTTGGTAGAAAATAAATCCCTCATTAAGACATTAAGTTTAAACCATTGCTTCCATCTAAAATAGTCCATAATCCATAATAACTCTTCCTCCAGTGAAAAAGTCATCTTGTCTGAATCAGGAGAGAAATATGCACAGATGAATGAAGTTGAAAACATCTTGTGGATTATTGTGATGTTTTTATCAGCTGTTTGGACTCTCATTCTCACGGCACCCATTGACTGCAGAGCATCCATTGGCGAGTAAGTGATGCAGTGCTACATTTCTTCCAGATCTGTTTTTTTTTGCTTTGTCATTATGCCATATGGAGTGAAAAGTGACTTTAGCTTCACCCTGGTTCCCTTAAAAAAACAAAAACAATATATGATTTTTTTTCCATTGGCTTTTGGATTATTGTAGAAAATAAGCTCTGTGTCCAACACAAGTTTATGGATTTTGAAGCCTAAATACAATCTGAACGAGTAAGTGATGCAGTGCTACATTTCTTCCAGATCTGTTTTTTTTTTTGCTTTGTCATTATGCCATATGGAGTGAAAAGTGACTTTAGCTTCACCCTGGTTCCCTT